CAAACATCTCCAGTTTGTATGACAATTGGCCAAGTGGTTCGTGAAAAATTTGATCATATGTTGTCCAAGTATAGGCCGGGAGTCTGTGCTCCTTTATAAACAAGTCAAAGCCATCTCGCGCTGCTTTTATCGTCTCTGGTGTTGGCCATCTCCAGAACAGTAAAGTAGATCCATTATCCCATTTCCACCAGGTTGATTTCGTATACTGTAAGCAAGCTTCATAGCCGAGGATTAAGCTGCGAGTGAATTCTTGCGTAGCTTCGTAGCCGGCAGTAGTAATGCTACGCGTGGTTAGTTTGCCACCGTGTTGTGAGTTCAGTGTTAACGTGACCACTTCGTCCGGCGTGTCAGTCGTGAGTTTCAGTATACTGTGATCATTTTGCTGAGCCGTTGGATGTTCATTCATAATATTCGGATCCGTATTTGTTGTATGAATATCAATGACGCGCTTGGTGGTCATTTCGCTTAAGTGTCTGGCGTTGATCGATCCCGGTTTTGCAAATGACACGTGATTGTTTATAAGGTTTTGCGCAGGGCTGACCCCGAAATTTGAGGTTTTGGCGTGTGCTGTGACAGGCGTCTCTTTCCCCCCCCGTTGCTGCGTAGCTGCCCGTACAAAACGTACGAGGACTCGTCGAAGAGCTTCAAAGAACCACGGAAAAGCTTGCTTGTTATAAAAGATGGTTAACCAATCTAACCAAAGCTGCTCATGGTGCTTGAGCATATAAAGGAAGAAAGAGAGAACCACATTGTGGCAGGCTCTACGGTGGAGATGTCGGCGTAAACAAGGTAAGGAATGGGTGGGTCGTTCGAGGACTAGGCCAATACGTCTGTCCCAAAGATGTTCTGGAATAGCAGCAGCATCTATCTTTACCGCCTTCCCCGTGATGAGGGTTGAATCAATCCATCTTCGGGGAAGCCAAGCCTTCAACGATGAGATGTAGTGCCCGCGTGGGTCGTCCATTGGAAGTTTTATCGGCTGTAATGAGTGTCGTCCGTTAATACTTGTTTTTGGGAGTGAGAGCGCGTTAACTATTGCGTCTGACAAGACTATTCCCGACTTCAAAGGAAGAAGGTCTTTCGTGAGTGTGTAATCGGGCCGCTCTGGTATGGCCCACAATGGCAGATCCCATGCTAGACCAAGCTCGGTAGGCGTGAGACGGCGATAGCCAATGCCGGTAGAACAGAATCTGTTGGGGAGAGCGATATCAATAGTACGATTGTTAATTGGTAACCACTCGTCCATTCCAATATATTGGGTAGGCTTGTTGGACGCCGAGATGTATGTTTTGTGATTTATAATAGAGCCAACAGTCCGATGGACGGTTGGTTTCAGCGATGGCTGTTCAATTCCTCCAATGTAGTATTTGGATCGAGCCGTGGTCACCCCACCAACGTCTTGGTGAGATACCAACAGAGTGGAGACAGTGGGATCCATTTTTGGCGGACGTCTGATCTTGGTGAGTACAGCAAACAAACTTGGGCAGTGATAGGTCTCTTGGTTCCATTCCTTGAGATCTTTTTCACCTCCTCCTGCAAAATCTATATCTACTGTTATGGGTCCTGTTGCTCCTTTGGGCCGATCAACTAATCTGTTTCCCCACGCTGTTTCTATTTGTTTCTCAAACACTTGCGGTAGTGGACAATCAATGATCACCGAGTACCATTGCTGTGGTCGGAGTGTAAGAAGCCATATAAATCCTCCTGATCCTCGGATGATCGCGCTAGCACTTATGGTGTGGGTCCGTAATCCTCCATCGACATAACCGAAGACAAACTGTAACTGAGACCGATCTCTCATCATCGAATCTGAGGTGGGATCTTGGGCAGGAACTGAGGAACTGATATCTAGTGTTTGGGATAGAGGCAATAACTGTTTTTCTACAAAGGTTAGTTGCTTATCCCGCCACCGTCATTTAGAAGCAAACTGTCCGGAGGCCCATTCTTTGATCTTCTTCGTGTGCTTGGTAAGCTTGTTGTTATACGTTGTTGCGGCTTTGTTAGAACTATCAAATGCGGACTTGACTGATTTAAATTCCTTTTCCCAGTACTTCTTGGCAGTATTCAACGATTCCTTGACTTCTTTAATGTCTGACTGGAAGGTGGAGACTTCCGCTGAGTTAGTGTTGTGCACAAGGAATCTGATATACTCCCCTGCGATGGACTCGTGGTCTCCGAAGTCCGCATCCACAAACGTCTTGAGTATATCTAACGTCTTGGGGACATAGAACCAAATATTTGCAGCTATGTCTGCTTTTGACGTGTCCTCCCCACATACGTTAAAGCCGTCAGCAACGCCTGATCGTACGACAAACAGTTCTCTGAATACTCTTTCCCCCAATTTTGTGGTGAGTATCCATGCTTTGTCTTTGGACATTCCATAAGTGACTAAGTTGTTGTGGGAGTTGTCGAGCCAAGTACAAAACTTTTCCATAGCAGCACATGATTCGGAGATAGATAGCTTGCAAATGGTATGTACCTTGCTTCCTGGTCGTAGGAAGTTGTCGGCATGAATGTTCAACTGAGACCTTACTAACGTAATGCCTGCTGGTATCTGTTTCTTCCCCTTTTCAACCCAGTCCTTATGGGTGGGAAATTTTCCAAATGAGGAGCTGTAAGGTGAGCTCTGTTGATCCCCTGAATCATCAAAGAGCTCTGGAATAGGACTATTGAATCCATGCATGACAATGGCCTCACGATTTGTTCCGATACCCAGTTTCTTGATATGATGTAATCTATCAAAGAACTTCGAGTGTCCCTTGTTTTCTTTCATGACATGATAACACACGGCATACGGGTCTATTATAAGACCAAAATTTCGTGCTTCCTGGTGTTCTGCTACGAAGGCTCTTGCATCATCGACCGTACTGAACCCTAAAGAACCAAAGCTTATCGAGGTGTGATCCTTTTCCAAAGATAACTTGGTTATCAGATTTTTCAACCTGTCTACCTCATCCTTTAGATCTCTGTGTTCTTTAAGTGTGGGACCCGGATTTATGTTGTGACTCGATTGATGGTTTGGTTGGTGCAAAAATGAAGAGTGTACTCCTTGAAATTGGTTAAAGAACTGTCCTGATGAGTTTCCCCTTGTTTCGAGGGTCTGCAACCTCGACCATACAGCCGCTTTGTTTTCATGATACGTTTCGAACCAGCCTGTGAGGTGAGTTACAAACTTGTTAAATGTAGCGGTATCCGTAAACCTTTCCGTGAAGTCTTTTATGCATTGGTTGCTCACTCTTCTTATCAGCATATCTTCATTAGGTGAATATTCCAGCAGGGCTCGTCCTATAGATCCTATCGTCGACCAGAGATCTGTACTATCAAACTCCGGTGGGACTGATCGTGGGTCTCTAACTCCTATGATGGTATCGATTGCGTTGATTTGAGTGGTGTGGTACTTGCTTGTAGCGGCATTGTCTTGTAATACTTCTTTCAGCGCTTCCCAGCGTTCTTCATTTGCTGAGCCATCTTCAAGGAGGTAAGCTTCGATTCTTTTTAGCTGTTCTTCAGTTGTCTCTTTCCCTAAGTCTTTATTATTTTCTAACTTTACGAACGGTCGAAACTGTATCTCTTCATCCTCACTGGCTTCATAAGTGGGAAATAACCGTGCTTTGGGCTTTCCGGGAGTCTTAAGAACTAATTTTGCTTGTTTCTGTGTTCTCACTTGTCGGTTAAAGTCTTCTAAGCCTATCGGTTTATGTGGGTCGTGAAATAAGTATTGCACTATATCGAAGCACTTATTCCAGTCCAGTTTGGTCTTCTTCGTGTCTGTCCAGGTGTTTAAGAGGGATTCTTCCACCAATTCTGCATGCAAGGTGGGAGCACTAAAGATGGTCTCTTTATGACGGGCAAGGACTGCTATCGTTGCTCCGGAGAGTTTCATTTGACCATCCCCTCGGTGACTGCAGTGGCAACTGTTCTTGGGCTTTATGCAAGCTGATTCATTGTTCTTAAGAAAGCCTCGACACAATTCTTCCGGCCGTTCAATAACTACAATAGAGTATACAGGATACGATTCCCCCCCCCCGTTGCCGGAAGGGAGAGCGACTCACCATCGTAATAAGAGGCGCCGCCAGCAGTGGTGCCGGCGTCGAGGACAACAGAAGGGATGTCGCGAGGCGCGGACGCGGTGATGAGGGCGTCCAGTGGGGAACTCATGGCCGCAAACGAAAAATTTAGTACTGTAGTATCTCCAGTTTGGTCTCTTAGCTACTGACACCAAGACTGCAGTCTACAGAACAATGAGACTGTTGCATCCTTCATCTTCTGTGAGGCGTTCTGTTGTCATCCCTTCTTTTACCAGTTACTGACACCTTCATTGTTCTTCTTGTTATTGCCCTTGATACACAGCATTGCTGCTGTACTTCCTTTATTGGTGGCTCTCGTGCTTCCGCGGTCTGTCCTTCCTGTTGTAAGCATCCTGTTGAGTTATGTTACACGTGGAGTACGTACCGTACCTCCAGGGGTACCTCCACGTCAAACGATACCTAGAGAGAGTCTTCGTCAAACATTACGTCGTAGTATGGTTAATACCTATTACCCTTACGTACGATACGCACGGTGTCAACTGTCAACTGTCATCTTGTCAACAATCATCAACAAAAAACCACGAAAGTGAAGATCAGTTTTTCGACGCACATCAATCCAGCATCGATCTGTCCCCAAACAAACTTGGCGCAATCAAAACAAATAGCGAGTCTTTGGAACCGGTGTGGATGGCGGATTGAAAGGTCAGCACAGAACGGAAAATTCCTCTCTCCGACCAGAAAAGTCTGCAAGCTAGGTCTGCTGCGAACGGCGAGTCTCTGCATTGGAATGGCAGGAGAACCAAACCCATTCCCAGCAACAGAGGATCGAACACGAGCGACAACACCCACGGCAGCCGGTTTCACTGGAAACCCACGGCGTGGCCGGAATCCTCTCCGGGAACGACCGCGCGCAAGCATCTCGAATCCCRTCGCTCCCCGGGGGCATCCGGCTGGGGCAGCGGCGGTGCTGTGGCTTGCAGCGATCCTCTTTTGGTCCGCCGGCTCGCTCGAGGTCRTCGCATTCGGTACCGGCACGCCGCTCGGGACGAGGAATTCCGGGGTGCTCGCCGGGATCTTTCGGGAGGGCGGCACCRCAATCGGCCGCACCGGTCTCCAAGGAAGAATCCTTCGGGAAGCCCCTGGGGCTCGAAGGGCACCTTTGTCTCTCGCAATGGCGACCGACGACAGCGGAACTGGCCACAGCGGAACCCACGACGACGACGACAACGACAACGACGACGCGCCCGTGATCCTGCTGGTAGGTTCGTGCGGYCTGGATCGGTTGCTGACGGTGGCAAGCTACCCCTCGGCCGATGCCAAAGTTCGCACGATTGCCTACAACGAAGAAGGGGGAGGAAACTCGGCAAACACGGCTTCCGGTAAGTTCCCGTAGAACGGCCCCAATCGCAGCAAGCGCCATGRTTTGTACGGCACACTTCCTTCGTTTGGTTTCACAGTGCGAGATGGACACTTTTCTCAGATCGAATTGTGTGCATTCTGTTGTCGTGTCTCGATTCGTTTCGTTTCGATCGTTCCGTCCTCCCTGGGCCACCTCTCGCTCGTTCAGCCATTGGAAAACTTGTCGCGAGCAAACTTTTTTGTTCGGCGGGGCAGCAAATGCGCGTAGAATTCTTGAGCAAGGTGGGAGACGATGCGGTCGGGCAGCAGCTCGCGGACGAGCTCAACKCATCAAACGTGGGGACCTCCACGGATCTCTTCCGCCGGGGCGRAAAAGGGAGCACGACGGCATTCACTACGGTCGTGGTCAGCGAGAGCGAACAAACGAGGACGTGCATCCACACGCTGGGGACGTGCGGAGAACTCTCCATGGCTGACGACGTCGAGTCGCTCTCCCCGGACGACGTGGATCGAATCTTTCGAAACGTGGTCCACCTGCACTCGGATTCTAGGCACACCAACGTCTCGCTCTGGATGGCCAGGGAGGCCAAGCGCCGCGGGGGCATCACGGTGTCGTGCGATTGCGAAAAGGATCGAAAMACAAAGGCGCTCGACGAACTCATCGAAGTGTGCGACGTTTTATTTACAAATTCGAATCACCTCGGAGAGTACCTGCAGCGATTGACCCTGGAACGWGAAGCYGCCACCGGCCGCCAGCCCCTGTCCGAGCCAASAATTGCCATTCGTACGGAGGAAGCCAAGGGAACCGATTTCTCGTCACCGGAGCTACCAGAAACCCGCAAGCTGATAGAAACGTGCGTTGGGTCTCTCGCACCGAGCTCGTATTTTGCCAGATGGCAACAACCTCAGAATGCGATCGSAAAAGAAGTCGTCGTCACCCATGGTGCGATGGGAGCCCTCCACTACAAATTGATCGAGCTGTCAAGTAACACGAGTAACGGCAGTGACAACAAACCGCACAATACGATCGAGATCGAAATGGCCGGAACGAAGATTCTTCGCATCCGCCATTCCTTCGATGACGGCAGAGAGGGCGCAACGGCATTGTACGAAACGCACCAAGTGGGKGTTTTGAAWGATCCCAAAATCGTGGACACGACCGGTGCCGGCGACGCATTCATTGGGGGCTACATCCTGGCGTCGAAGGCTCTTGGGGTGGACCGCGAGGATACGAATGGCGTCGGAGTYCAAATCGCCCTTGAAATCGGTTCGTTTGTCGGCGGTCGCAAGCTCGGGGGTCCCGGGGCAAGGAGTGCGTTGCCAACCGAGGCTGACATCGATCGGTTGGGGTCGAGCGCAGCCGAAGCAAAAGCTTCTCTTCGAAACATACTCGGGTCGTTCAACAATRTCCACCAATAGATACGAGACGCACACTATGTTCGTCCAAACCGAATACTGGAGTATACCCAGAAACTATCGCTGTCGCTTACAAACATAGGTTAATTTTAGAAATTGAATTACGAACTCTTAATTGCGGCTATCTTTTTTCATGCTTTCGTTCTGAGGTAGAATTTTTGGCTTTCTGATATTTCTTGATGAATACCTATTGAACAAATAGATTGACTTCAAGGATGTTTTGATATGTAAATAGTAGTAGTAGCAGTACTACTGCAACTATAATTAATAGAACTGCAACTACTACTACCACCACTACTACCAGCAATTCTATCTTCCCAAGCAAGAAGCTTCAAGAGGAGGAGCAATCGTGCTAAAGAAGCTCACCAATTCCATGACCTCAGCCAATATTCTTGTTGTCGTCGTTCTTGTTGTTGTTACCTTCTCCATTGCAAGCAACAAATAGGATATWCTAGTGCAATTCTACTAATTCTACTAATAGAGGTGAGAGTCCTTTAGAAGATCTAGCCAAAACAGCCAAAAGAAATCCCGGGGTGACTTAGCAAGTGGATTTCTCGTAAGTCTTCAGACAAAAAGTTTGAATTTGAGATTTTTTGAGCTGTTTTATTGAACTGTCATGTCGGTTAAGATGAATACCGGTAGGCATAAATCGAAGTGGTAGGAAATAACGGTGTGCGAACAAACAATTAGTGCAGCTTTTCGTCTTCGAATTTCCACTCTTTTCTTCGGCAACATCATCAAAAAACAATGTTGGTACTACCGTTACTAGCAGTACCGTACTGGAAAAACACCAATGACATGGCTTCAGAAAAAACACAATTCTCCTCCCGAAGTTTGGACCGAAAAATCCAAAATTATCCCGTCATGCTTTTCGGCAACGTCTTGCTTCCACTCAATACGGTAGCTACAGTACGGTAGTGTGGTGCAGCACAAAAATGAAACMCTCAGTTTGTTTGTCAAATCAACTCCCAAAGAAAGGAATGCTTCAGTCGATATCTCTTATTGAAGCGTTTGTCTTCGGCGCCTGAACTTTCAACTAGGATGACTTTTACACGTGCTTTTCTCTTTTACATCCAGCTTTTCGCTGTGGTCGTAGAATCATTTGTTGTGGTTCCTTCGTGGAACTCGGCWTCCCGACGACAGATATCCACAACGACGAATTTGTCGGCTTATACTCCTCCAAACGGCGGGTCCTCTCAGTATTCTTCCTGGGGAGGATCTCGAAGCAATGGGTCTAGCGTCCCATCAAAAACCGCATGCGAGTCGGCTGTGAACATTGAATGGGAACCGATGTCTGAGTTGGAACGGCGAATCGAAGATGGAATTCATTATGAGCACATACCAAATTATTATCGCAACGAACAGCACATGCCGGGTTGCCACCCCAAGGCAAAAAGAATAATTGATGCAGAAGAAGAAGACGATACACCAGGGGTCCGCGCGGTGTTTTGTGCCTATCGCTACAGTGAGGAAGACTATAATCGCCTGAAGTCTGCAGATGTATGATGACGAATTCATCGATTTTTCCAAGAAAGCCATCTCATCACAAACAAGTTTAYCGTAGTCCATTTTGTTTTTCGAGTGCGAAGATGAAGATTGATGCGAATAGACAATGATTRGTTCCACATGGGTTCGCGACTTTCCCTTCGCATCGCTACWTGGAGGCAGACCAAAMTTACCTCAATCCTGCGGGTGCCCAATAAAAAATTGATATCAATTACAGTCCATCATGCCATGRCTGAACAAGACGCAGGAACCAATTTCATCGAAAGAGTAACCATTATTTCGTCTATCTAATTTAAAATTTGAGAATRAAAATTACACGTCTACAATTTCCACCTCGATCGATGCTACTGTTCTGGATATCGGGATGCATTCATCGAGCTTAGACACTCGCGGTACTGCTCCTCATTTCTTTCAGTAGCTTCATCTGAGGGCCTATACTGTCCCAGCTAACCGAATTTGCTGCGAGGATTCCTGAACCTGCAACAGCTGGCACTCCTATACCCGGAAATGTGCTATCTCCGCAAACTAGCAATCCGTCGACAGGGGTTCCGGGAAATGGAAAKGAGGCTTCCCCTGCCCGAATTGCTGGGCCATAACTCCCCTTGTACCGATTAAGAAATCTCTTATGCGTCAAAGGGGTACTGTGAATATCGTGCAACGCGTTGGGGTAGAATGAAGACAGAATTGTAAGATATCTGACATTGAAYACGGATATTRAAGTTCAAAAGTAGCATCACTTACCCGACCTGAGATGCCACGACGCGRTCCTTGATATCCGGTATGATCTTTTCTAATACTTTCCACAAGTATTGACTTCGYTCCTCTTTGAGAGACTTGTATTCATCTGATTTGCGGTCYAATCCTTCCCAGCGGTCGAATTCTTCTGTTGCGGGMGTATAGATATGCAAAACTCCATATCCTTCKGGAGCCAAACTGTCGTCGTGAACACTGGGAATGCTTAAAAGGGCGGCGTTATCTTCCCCTTCGATACCCTTTGACCAATCATCAATGTACATGTAATGTGCCTGAAGTTCTTTGAGCTCGGCTTTCGAAGCTCGGAATCCGACATGCAAGTGCATGAAGGACTTTCCAACAGGCGTTGCCATCCGTTCCTTGACAAGGGAATCAGGRAAAAGCGATTGATCGATTATCCCACTTCCGTACAAGTCCCAAACAGATAAGTTACTAACGACGGCCTTCTTTGCTCGAACGATCCGTCCTTTGGACAGACGAACCCCTGTCGCTTTTCCGTCTTCTACAATGATTTCTTCMACTGCCGCATTGCAAAAGACATTCCCTCCGAGYTTCTCGATACCTCTGACTAACGCCTCAACAATGCTCTTGCTACCTCCCGTTGGACAATCCATGATAGCGTCTTCRTCGTAAAATTCACCCATCATCATTGCCATTTCTGCAGTTATTGTACCTTCCGCCGTGAGACCYGATAAACAAAAGCACAGCAAATCCAACCACCGTTGRGCGAAACTACTCGACGGGACCCCCGAATTTTGCAAGATGTTCTGAAAGGGTTTAGTCAGCTTTAAGTTTTCTAATGGATTGAGCTTGGAGAAGTTGGCAAGGTACGGGGCAGCCGTGAGTGCCGTACCGAGATCACCACGAAGGGCAGCAGTGGGCAGAGCATCGACGGCCTGGGCTAGTGGCTCCATGTTCTTCAGGAGCCGCGACCAGGCYTCTGTTCCACTCTTCCCATCAACCTGGTCGATAACACCTCCCGACTTTCCAAAATCGGTGGTGTGCACAAAATTCCCCTCCGGCAGCGCCAATCCAAAGGTGGTGTATGGATAGCATTCCACTGACTCTTCAATCGCATCCAATACGGTTCGGAGTGGGTTGCTGGCCTTGGCGGCTAAATCAGGGTTTAACCCAGCAAAAAARGATGGCCCTGTGTCAAATAAAAAGTCGCCCTCTATGCCCTTGGYGCGGACYTTAAAGCCATGGGCTGCGCCTCCCGGGATGTAGTGTTTTTCCAATACCGCAACCGAATACCCATATTTTGCCAGCATAGCGGCACATGACAATCCACCTATGCCACTGCCAACGACAACCACATCGTATGCCGAATTATCCAGAAGAGAAGYSTTCGATTGMTCCGCAGTATCGATTAATGATGACAAATGCTTAGAACCGTTAATTCGATTCAATTTTTTCACATCGGTTCGATCCCCAGTTTTGATTTTTGGAGTAACCACGAATGCGTCAGCGGTGACAAGAAACGCCAAGCTAAGAAGTGAACCTTGCAAATTCACCATTTCCTAGCGACAAATCGAGCAGAATGGCCAAATTGATATTCAACACAACAGATCGTGTGATTCAGCTCCGACGAGTGATGCTAGCACCAATTATGTTGTTTGCAGACATKCATAATGCTTGCTCCAGAACATGAAATTCGATTGAAAAGTACGAAAGGTGTTGAAAATCCAATACCGTTCCGCCTTTTCAAGACGATAGCGGTATGTACTCGTAAGTTAGAGTACGTACGTACGAGTACGGTACGACTCAAGACGGAATGGATTTTTTTGAGAAAGTAAGGAAATGAATATGAGTCAGTCAGTCAATCAGTCACGAACAAATCGAATGAATCAACTACTGCGTGTTAATACGTGGTTTACAATAGAAGAGTGAGGTTATTCACTAGCTACTCGGGATTTAGTCTCACACAATCATCGTATCACATTTTTTCCCAAAAAGATAGAAATTATAATAAAAGATTCCCGAAGTCTCCAACATAASACCAAACAGTAMGTTTAACTGCGTTAAGAAGGGTAACTTACTTAGGTATTTACTAGTAMGAAGTACTTGTGACGACAMTACGGTAGGATAAGTTAAGTTTTCTACTRCTGTACGTACTTATGAGGAAGTACGGTACGTACCGTACTTCGTATTACTGTATTACACGTTGAACATCAAATTACATCATTTACGACCAATGGCGGCAACTGCGAACTACCGGTAACTTCTCGTACGAGTACGTAAGCACAACGAGGTTAGCACTGAAAGTTAGTCCTCACTCGTGATCTCTTCTGTGTTCTTTGTGTCGTTGGCAATCAACCAATTTTTTCGATACAGGTTTGAAAACCCTGAAGTCAGGTGCCACAGTTTTGGTATCCTCATCGAACTCGATCATCTGAAATACAGGTCTCTCGCAAACGAACSACTRATAACGGGAAAAATCAAAAGCGTAACATAGAGGAAAGRAAATGCTGACGACGACTACTTCTTTGGGTGTCGTAGCGCCGCTACTRGCAATGCTGGTTTTTGTGCAGGGTTGTGAGAGTTTCTCGACGGAGATAAATAATGTAAGGCCTTCTCCTTCGASACCTCAATGCTATAAGACAAGAAACAACATAATTATACAACGGATAACAAAGAAAGCCACTACGTCATGCTCGGCGCGAAATTCACGTGATGAAGACTATTACGACGAGGACGACGACTATTTTGACGACGATTACGATGAGGATTACGATAGAAGACCGAGACGACGGAGACGACGAGGAAATAATGGGCCTCGCGACGAGTACGGTGAAGATCARCTGGACGACCTCGGMTACAATCGACGAAACGAAGATGGATTTCTGAACATACCTTCGTCGTTTGGACAGCGCGATGGATGGCGACTTCCGGATGCAGTGTCGAAATCACTTTTGGCCGGAATTTTCATCCTGGGTGTTGGTCTTGGGGTCACAGTTGATTCCGCCATTAACACGAACCCAAGAGATCTGGCCTCTCGCGATGCCATYGATCAAGCCGCTCCGAACTCCAAGTTGTGCGCTGATATGGGCGCAAGTGCGATGGCATTTGATCAACGAGTTTTTGTTTCCTTCAACCCTTTTAATGTTTACGTAGCCCAGGCAGATGTCAAGCCCGCCTGCGTTTTGCGCCMAGCCAATGTTGTTCCCGTTCTGAAAAACAAGAAACTCATCAACGACAAGGAGGTTGCTGGATGCAAAGCTAACATGAACACTTGGGCTTTCGTAGGAGACTTGGACAATACACCACAACTGAGTTGCGTTTACAAGAGCGAAGACGCTCAGAACGAATTTCTTTCCAATCCGAAATTTGGTATCGGAGAAGACTACTTGGACGACGATCGAGCTATGAACAACAATATCAAAAAAATCAAAGATGGCATGACTGACGCACAAAAAATGGAACTTAGGAAGCGGGCGGCTGAAGTACCTGGGCTTGATTAAACATTTAAAACTGAATAATTCCATACTCATTAATTCCASACTTATTTCATTTTGATAGCGGTGACATTCGTTTCCATCTTGACTTTAATCRTCTCATTAGTCTTTTGATCCATCTTCTTTCGTTTCAAAAGTCAGTGAAGCTCCATTCACACAAAATCTCGGAAGGTATCCGTCGACTTTTCGCCCTCTCGGATCTGAAGAGGGAGCGGTCTCCAATAAAGTTTTATCTACCTTGCCAGGAAGTGGACCATCTAGGAAGACATGCCCCAAGTGTGAATCGCACCTCCCGCACGTACACTCAAGCCTACCATCCCACTCCTTCTTGTATCCAATGCTGCCGTCCTTGATGGATCGCCAAAAGGAAGGCCACCCCGACCCTGAATCATACTTTCCACTGGATTCAAATAATTCGTGCCCGCAATACGCACAGCTGAAGACGCCGTCTTTCTTCACATARTTYAGAGGGCTGGTGAATCTTGGTTCGGTAAAACCTAGTTTCAACACCATCAACCGCAATGGATTCCAAGTGACCCGTTCGATTTCCTCTTTCTTCACTTCCGCTTTGGCGCCTTGCCCTTCACTTTCTTTTGATGAAAACCTCATCGTACTTGTAACCTGACGAGTTCTTGATATGGTATCCCTGTTATTCGTTGCGGCGAAGGCCTCGGCTGCTGGGGTATTTAAAATACTTGCAAGACCAGCAACGTAAATCAAAGCTGAAAGTTTGTTGCGAAAATAACAAAACTTCATCCTTTGTTTTCACCACTTCGTTTGATTTTATTTTCTTTGCGATTYTAAGCTGAGATTGGAAAGTTCCGAACGGTGTCTAGAATGGGATCGAGACGGCGAATTGGGACGTCAGGTGCAATACATKGGTCTTTTCGAAGGTCGGAGCCGAAAGCAAATGAGGATTCGAGGATGGTATTTCGAACCCTACACATTCTCATACCTGTACGTGAACAGTSCGTACGTACCGTACTACGATTTGATTCGACCAGAAAGATCTTTGATGAATCATCATMGCCGGTGAGTTTCAGCCGGAATAAATTTTTCATGCGTGGCAAAATCCGGCATGACTAAAATTATTGACTGTACTCGTGATTTAGGCTCACAATTATTACTATGAATCCGGATCTTTTGCAATCGAGGCTTTCTCTTTTGGCCATGCCTCAAGTCCACAGGTCAAAATAAATAAATGATGATACCTAAAAAATCCCAGTAAATTTCTATTTTATTTTACAGTATCAAATTGCTTAATAACGGTAAGTGTCAGGCTTGAAAGGACCTTCGATAGGAATTCCAACGTAGTCGGATTGTTCCTTGGAGAGAAGGGTGAGCTTGGCTCCRAGGGAAGGAAGGTGAAGCTTGGCGACCTTCTCRTCGAGGTTCTTGGGAAGAACGTAAACCTTACCGCGTTCGTACTTTCCGGAGTCTTTCTCTCCGTAAAGCTCGAGCTGGGCCAAGACCTGGTTTGTGAAGGAGCAAGACATGACGAACGAAGGGTGACCGGTAGCACATCCCAAGTTGAGAAGACGTCCCTCGGCGAGGACAATAACTCCGTGGTTGTCTTCGAAGACGAATTTGTCAACCTGGGGCTTGATGTTGATGCGCTTGGTGGCCTTCATGAGTCCTTCCATGTCAATTTCGTTATCGAAGTGACCAATGTTTCCGACGATGGCATTGTTCTTCATCTTGGCCATGTGGTCCTTCATGAGGATACCCTTGTTACCGGTGGTGGTAATGAAGATATCTCCGGTCTCGAGCACGTCCTCGAGAGTGGTGACGGTGTAACCTTCCATGCAGGCCTGAAGGGCGCAGATGGGGTCAATTTCAGTGACGTAGACGACACATCCGTTGGCACGCATGGCGTGAGCACATCCCTTACCGACATCTCCGTATCCGCAGATGACAGCCTTCTTTCCGGCAAGCATGACATCGGTGGCACGCATRATACCATCGGGAAGCGAGTGCTTGCATCCGTACAAGTTGTCGAATTTGGACTTGGTAACGGAGTCGTTGACGTTGATGGCRGGGAACAAGAGGGCCCCGTTCTTTTCCATGGTGTACAATCTGTGGACACCGGTGGTGGTCTCTTCGGAGACTCCGTGGCATCGTGTGGCAATCTTGTTCCACTTATCGGTCTCTCCGGATTCGAGGAGACGCTTGATGATGGTAAGAACAATCTTGAATTCAGCGTTGTCGGTGCTGGAAGGATCGGGGAGGGTTCCGTCCTTGAGGAAAAGGTCTTCGGCCTTCTTACCTTCGTGGATGAGAAGGGTCATGTCACCACCGTCATCGATAATGATATCAGGTCCGTGTCCCTTGCCATCGTCGTCTTGCCAGGTGAGGGCGTTCAAAGTGCACTCCCAGTATTCCTCGAGGGTCTCTCCCTTCCAGGCAAAGACAGCGGCGGATTCATCACGTGCAATGGCGGCRGCGGCGTGATCCTGGGTGGAGAAGATGTTGCACGAGCACCATCGGACATCGGCTCCAAGCTGGTTGACAGTCTCGATGAGAACGGCAGTCTGGATGGTCATGTGAAGGGATCCGGAAACACGGGCTCCATTGAAAGGCTTGGAAGGTCCGTATTCGGTACGGCACGCCATAAGTCCAGGCATCTCGACCTCGGCGAGCTCAATATCCTTGCGACCGTAGTCGGCWAGGGAAATATCGGCAACTGATTCACAAATTAATTATTTCGACAAAGGATACCAAAAAGAAAAGGATTCGGTCGAAGTGAATCACACATCGTTAGTTTCGTTGGCCGGGAAGCACATGGGATACTCATAATCAAGTTCCGTATAGTTCAGCGACATATAAATAACATACCTTTGTAATCTCCGGTAGACATGATTAGACTTTCTGATTGCTGATTGTTTGAGATCGCTTTTCGAAATTATGACCGTAGTGGTTTTGTTTCGGATCTTTCAAGAGAAACGGTCGAAAATTGCAAAAAATGCAGCATTGGACGGTTCCTACGACAGTTCTCATCRAAAAACTTAAACTGGTGGCATGTGCGATGGGTGATGACCCAAAAAGTGAACGTGACGGAAGTCAAAGCGCGCAAAAGCAATGACGTGCGTGGAACGTGCACAACCACTCGGTAGAACAAGTACAGAACGTGCTACAATCAAATGATTGAAGCACGTTCGTGTCTCAGAATCTTCTCAGTCGTGCAAAGCACCAAAAATATTACAGTAAGACATGTGTTATGATAATCTGTGATTCCTACCGTTACAGCGYTGCTACGATTACCGTAGACTGACAGACTGGACGATTTTTAATAGTTCTGACWCTTCTACTACTAGTCGTACTAGTACATACCATGGCACTCGTCCTGACTGCATCATGTGGGTGTGGGTGTTTTTTTCATTACTTGTGGAAATAAATTTATCCAACAACAGGAGCATGCTAGTAGTAGTACTACAACTCCTCCTTGCTCCTCAGCAGGTTGTTGGGTATCCACCCTCCACCAAAACCGCCAGCAGTATTATGGATTTACTACTAAGTAAAGCGTCTCGGGTGTCTGTTGACGAGTTGTTCTGGGGCCCTCCATTAATATTTTTTCAAAATAATAGTTTCCTGCCCAAAATGAGGAGAAACAAAGAGAATTGTTTCTCCTTGTGTAACAGGCAACAATATTTTCATTCTTGTTTATTGTTGTTGCAAAAAAAGAAACTAAGAGGAGAATATTGGCTCTCCTTGTTTTTTGTTTCCCCATGTTTAAATAAGGAGAAACAAAAGCAGACAATAGTGTCCTGGCAATACTACTAGTATTATGATCATTGTTTCACTTTGTTTAAACAGAGAAAATTTAATCCAGACACTATTCTCTTTGTTTTTCTTACACATGGAAATGAAGGGCATGTCATGATTCTCTTTGTTGTTGTTCCTACAACAAAGAGAAACAGAGATAATATTCCTCTTCTTGTTTCCCTTTGATTTCTTGATGTTAACACAAGGAGAAATAAAGAGAATGTTGCCTTTCCTATAATCCCTTTGTTTCTCTTTCTTGTTGTTTAATTGTCAAGAAAACCTATGGGAAACCCTAATCTTGGTTGGTAACTTTCTTCCTCCTCAAAGGGCCCTGGTGATAAAGTTAAAAGGCAATGGGATTTAAAAACTACTGCATTGCAATGGTTTTGTCTACAACACCAGTTGGTCACCCCTGTCTGGTGTTTCCTTTGCACCCTCTACTATTTTTGTATTGACTAAAGTAAAATGATTGATACTTTAATCAATTGATAGTAGTACTAGTACTAGTAATAGCTACTACTAGTAGTAGTCCCATGGCACCACTCCTCTGTTGCTAGTACTAGTAGTATTCACTATTGTATTAGTATTAGTAGTACTACAACTAATTGTTATTCAATGATGTGTCCATTTGTTTTTCCTCCTCCTCATACTGCCAAAAGCAAATCCAAGAAGTTTTCAGCAGCTAGTATATAATACTACAAACAAGCACTGGGATCAAGCTTGCTAGTACTAGTAGTAGTACTTCTTAGTATTGCTTCAAGGGTAATTCTCTTTGCCCCACTAAATAGTACTACTATCATCCTTTCTGAAGTACTAGTAGATGATGTTGCTTGAATAACAAGATGCTTCCTTCTTGCTAGAACAGCTAATGGTTTGAGTTTTACTATTATTATTATTATTATTTACCCACAAATGCAGAGGTTTGGAGTACAGGGTTTGTCTGTCTTAAAGGGTACTAGTTGAGCATGCTGGGACATGTACTACCTACTACTAGTAGTAGTATGTAGCTCCAACAAATTGCATTATGCCTTGATATTCTGACGAGGACCAGAAGAAACTGCAGCTTGCTCTTCTTTTTGTGACTGGTGTCACTGCATGATCATCAAATGGTCCTCCTCTGTGATGTCACTATCTACAGCAGAGGCTGCCAAAGCAGAGTTGCCATTGCTGCTACTAGTACTAGCTTCTGCAAAAAGTGTCCCACTGCTATCTTTGGTAATCTCACTGGTCCTCCTCCTCATGGTCATACTCATCTCTTCAATCACTACTAGTAGTATCTACTAGTAGTACTACTACAAACACGCCAAAGCACTTTTTTGGACTGTTGTGTTGCACTGTTACAACATTCTTGACTTGATCAAATGTAACAAAGTAATGCAATGATCACATACCATTTTGTGCTCAGCCCTATGAGTAATAATAGTCACATTTCATATTTTACACCATATRAACCAATCTAAAAAAAATAGACCTAGTATTTTTTACCTGTTGCTGCTACCTTTTGTACTAGGTAAAAATTGGTGGCATGATTCACAGACTCTGTCACTTCTTGGTGCAACAACTACTAGCAGTACTTCTACTATGAAAATTGTACTACTACTATTACTACTACTACTACTACTACTACTACTACTACTACTACTACTACTACTACTACTACTACTACTACTACTACTACTACTACTACTACTACTCCTACTGGTACATCCTTCTTCTTGGACTATTTTTGTGCAGTGGTCCTGGCTTTTTTGATACTACTACTAGTAGTACTAGAACCACCTCTCCTACTTACAATGTTAATTGATATAGTAACATCAAGGTTTTCACTTCTTTGTGGTGTGGCTAAATAAGTTCTAATGTTATGCTGCATAACCTTGATGGTCCAGTTGTGGTTCTACCTAGTAGGAGGAATGCTAACAAAACCTCCTCTTTGTGGTGATGTTTGCTTCTGAGATGTCTACCCACTACTACCACTAGCAGATAGAGACCATACCAACCAATGATACAAATTAGTGCTGTAATCCACATTTGTTCCTAKCTATGAATAATACTTTCTAAATGYAWTGGTATGTTTTCATTGTTTCCATCTGTCAGAACAATGTCGAAGAAAGAAAACTAGATTGCCCACTCGAGACTATCTGATTGAAWTGTTACATCTTCGTATGAATACCATGTTACCATTGGTGAAGAGATTCCTACAACATACAAGTCGCCCATATAGAGGGCACAAAAAATAGTAAATAGAATTAGTGTTAAGTGAACAGACCTCATAAGGGCGACAGCCGCGTCTCYTGGGAAACAACTGTTTCTATAGACTTTACAACACCTTTTGCTTCTTGCTGCTTTCACTGGGATTGTACCACGTCAACGGAGCCAAGTCTTCTTCGAATTCTTCCCGTTTGCTTTTAGAATCATTTACGACGATCTCGCTTGTGTCCACTCCCTCCAACTCGAGTGCATCACTCAGCAATTCTTTGCGTTTTTTCAGTTTTTGGGAAAGGGCTTCCAATTTGAAAAATTCACCWGCAGCTTCCACCGATCCAAATTGGCATCTAGATTTTAATAACAAGTAAATGAGTTTTTCTCGGGCTTTCTTTTGTCGCTGCACGATGTCTTGGAACGTATTCAAGCTAGAGGTTTCTTCGTCGATGTCCAAATCAATGAGATTCGACGGAATGCGAACAGAGAATTCGTTGGTGGTAGCAGTATCCAGTTCCGTAACTTTTCCGCTCTTCAGATCCTCGCATGCTGCCAGAACGTCGGCAGGCAAATTGGTCAACTCTGTGCTTATTTCGACGGCGGTACTTGTTCGGACATCGCGTGCGATCTGGAGGGTCGTGATTGCCTTGCACGGATCTAAAAACTCACGCGACTCGACTTTGCCAGACGGAACACCCTGGAACAAGAAGTGATGACAAGGTGAGTGCAGTCGTTCACAGTTCTGTCGATTCTATCGAAAACAAGGAATCTAAAKTGTTCAGCGATTCTGTAGTATTGGCTTACCGTGCTTTCGAAGTCATAGTCCACTTGTTGGTTGAGGAAAGAATTCCGTTTTCCTGGCGAGGGTGATTTCGTCGGAACATCTTCAGTTAAAGACATTTTAGTGCCGTTCTGTGCCTCGTATTCTTTTTCCTCCTTAGTAGTAGCCTCTTCCTCGTTGTTGTCGGGACCGGGGTACACTGTGTTGCCATTGTGCGGTGAGTGGTCTATCGACGCATCTCCAACATTTGCATTAGTTTCTGCTGTCGTGTCGTCTTTGCTCGATTCTGTTTTGATTTGTGCAGATGAACCAGAAACTTCCAACTGTGCTTTCGTTGAGCTACTTTGAATGCTCAAATCCTCTGCTGGTACAGATGYTTTCGTTGCAGCTGTTTTGTTTGTTGTTGTCGCAACATTATTTCTATTTTGGTAAAGCCTTCGAATTTGTGATATCAATGAAGGCCCTCCGAATACATTTTTGTCTTCCCATTCCTCTAGATATAACCCCAGCTCCTCTGCTATGCTACTCCCCAGTTGTTTCATTGCCGGCTGTAGTGCCTCTCCCAGTGCAACACGCAATTCGGCGAGTTTTTTCCATTTGCCCTCGTCTTCATTGCTGTTCAGCAAAACCTGGTGAATCAGTCTCCAGTACATCCACTGACGCTTCGCGTTGTTTTTGTTATCTATTAGATCTCTTGTCAATATAGTCGTTATAGTAGAAGTGCGCTTGCGATTGAATCCAATCCAATTCGAGAGTGTTTGGACGGAATCTTTGCTGGCGGTATCGGCTAATCCGTTCAATTTCTGTTCAAGTTTGCTACCCCACGACGACGGCATCTTTGCTGGAGCAGGAACTAAAATAAAAATAAGGTCTATTTCCCGTTTTTATGCTGTTCTAAGTTTGACCGATTAGAATGTACCGGTATTATATTCCAAGCACCGTAAGAATTGTTCTCAGCTCTGATGATTACGAGTGCTGATCGAAGATGTTACTTAAAGAGTGAACATGGTGCTCAACAAAAATCATTTTTTTACTTGGCAGAAGTACGAGTACAATCATAATTCTTGTTCGACCACGAGGGATAATTTTGGGTGGGCTGCAAAACACCAAAAACATATGATTGTTGCGAAGGTTCGATGCGACGGCAACCCTGCGAACCGAATTGGCGWCTCTCACAAAAACACAAGTGCTAGTTACTAGTAGCAGTAGTAGATCTAATATTACTAGTACTTCTTGTTCTATTCTAATAGTACTATTAGTTGTACTTAGTTCTACTACTACTACTACTACTAGTCATATTCCTACTACTATTAATGATGGTACTTCTAGTAGTAGTAGTAGTAGTAGTACGAGCACTAGTACTACTACTAGTAGTACTCTCCTATCATGAAGATACTACTACTAGTAGGATTCTTGTTGCAAGTAGTAGAATTCCTCCATGACGACACATTTTGACAAGAAGTAAAACATTACTATTACTAGTAGTAGTAGTAGTAGTAGTAGTAGTAGTAGTAGTAGTAGTAGTAGTAGTAGTAGTAGTAGTAGTATCATTTGTATTATTAGTACCAGTACTAGTACTAGTAGAAATGAAGATATCATAAAGATTCTACTAGTAGTACTAGTACTAGTACTAGTACTAGTAATAATACTACTACAGGTAGTAGTAGTACTACTAGTAATAAAGAAACAAAAACCTTAGTACTTCTTGTAAAAGAATCTCTTCATCAATCAGCCAAGAACTTCTTCCTGGTGTTTCCAGCAGCAGTAGTAGTAGTACTAGGAAAAATATGCCAAATATTTACAAAGATTGTTGTACTGCATACTACTAGAACCAGCATACGATGCAGTGATGGGATCAGAAAAAATATCAGAGGATACCAGCATAGTAATATGCAATGTGCATTTGCCCTGTGGTGGACAGGCCCTAGGARCAAACCATACCCTGCCACTTTATTCAAGAATGATCAGGCATAGTCCTCTACCTCTTTGACTCAATTGATTAAAGGCCACAAACCAATTGACATCTTATGAACAGTTTTTTCGGTTTTGAAATATCTGGTCTGAATGTGGTACTAGAAAGAAGCAACATGAAAGTGCCCATTGTTGGCACTCTCATAGTTGGAACCAGCATCCATTGGCACACAAGCACTAATAGTAGTTCTTGGCTCTCCAGCACTTTGTTGCAACACTCCTATTTGGTGAGAGAGAGCCCCCCAGCTGCAAAAACAGCCTGTAATTCTGAATAGGAACAAGGCAAGGTGGTCCAATAAACCAGAGTGCAGGGCTCTATTAATTTCAACAATAAAGAAGGAGGATGTGTAGAAGAGTAAGTACTAGAAGTGAGACTACTAGTAGACAAGGCAAATAATTGGGTGATTGGGCTTTTCTTGTTTGACAGACMTACTATTGCCCCAAGACATCAACTAACTGGTGCTTACTACCACACACTCTAACTGTGTTCATAAACTGTTTCTGTACCAGTTTGCACCTAGTATTTGTACCTAAGTTTTTAAGTCCATCCCCCTTTAGTTGCAATCTGGACTTTTTTGGTACAGAATGAAATAATTGAGCTCTAAATTCACAAMTGGTCTCCCCTTGTGASCAATGTCCCCAACACTTGAGAAAACTCTCCCCTTTTCCCTTCAGTTGACTAGCTTGACTCATTTCAACTTAATATGGTCCTTCTTCTTTGGTGAAGAACAATATCAGTGGAAAAGATTCACCTGGATGAGTTCAATTGATCAATCAATCATSAAACAAAATCAAGCAATACTAGTATTGGTGACAGGCCACCAGGAACATGATCAGATGACATCATGGTGGCATGTCAAACAATTTTGATGCAGTTCTAGCACTACTATCCACCAGAACTTTAGTAGTACCATTGGAAAATTCATAGTTTTCATCTGGAACTTTTTGATACCCCAGATTGATTTTGTTTTTGTTGAAAAACAAGGTCAAAGACAAGATCCACTGATGAGATCAACCCRCAGAAGAGATCTGCAGACAATCTGCAGATGGGCGGCAGTGAGATCTGCAGACAAGATTTATCTACAGATAAGATCCAGAGACAAGATCACAGACAAAATCTGCAGATGAGATCTACTAGCACCAAGATCTATGGATGAGATTTGCAAAAGAGATCTGCAGACTGATCTGCAGATGAGAAATGTGGGCTATTTTATCAGAAAAGTACTACTACTAGTACTACTAGTACTAGTACTACTAACCCACCAACATAAAATAACCCACAAAGAGAGGAGAACCCAAGAAGAAGAAGAATAACACCCCATCAAATAAGAGTTCGCCCATGAATCTGAATGTGAKTTACTGTCAAAAACATGGGTTATTTTGTCCAAAAAAGAATCCACATTTTTTGAATATGGGTACTACTAATTTTATCAGAAAAATAAATTAAATAGCATTCCCCCGAATTGTGGATTTAAAGGGGGATACGTATGTGGGTTCTGAAGGCCCTGGATTTTGTCGAAAGAGTTCCTCGGTCTGATGTCGATACATTCGATTCGAAAAACATTTTTGGTTTTCTAATGGGTTTCCGTACTGGATTACTGTACATGATAAGAAACATCAAAAACTTCATCATCATCAGCGAAGAATCAGCTTCCAGTATCAGTATCTGTATTTTATGAAGATTCTAATCATCCGCCACCCCCGACACTCCCAACATTAATACCATCGTCAGCGAGGTATCGATTTCGAAGAAGGGGTCAAACGTGGTTTTTGATTAGATTGATGGCATCCATGGTGACTTGTAAGTCTTTGATGGGTCGGCGATTCCGTAATGTCACCGCTACCGCTACAGCCCGTCTACAACAAGCATTCTCGACATCGCCCCCCACGGTTGCGCCTTCGTCGAATTCGGCCCACGAACGAGTAGTTTTGGCCCTGTATCGGCAGCTTCTCCATTGGTGCGACGAGACAGACAATAACATCCCACTGTCGCAATCTATTCCGCCAATTCATTTGTCGCCGCCGCAAATCTGTTCGAGCAGTTTGAAAAGGCTCGCGGCGTCGTYGGGAAAGAAATCAGTCGGCAGCAACCACTACCACTATGGGATTTTYTCACCCCGAARTAGTTTGGTAAAAGAAACGGGCATCACGATACACTCCGTTSCTACTTCGGTAGAGGCAAAACAACTTCTGAGGGCCGTCTTTCGCATGAATGCAGCCACCACCGAGGAAACTGATAGAAAAGAACAATTGACAMTGGCCTTCGAATGGATGAAAGGCCTGAACGAGTTGACGCAGGGATTGGAAGAAATGAAAACAAACCGTTCAAAACACGAGAACCGTGAAGGGGTGAACTACCGGATAGGGCAGGTTGTGAAGCACAAAGCAGCAGGCTGGAGAGGGGTTATCMTTGGATGGAATCGAACAGACGAAGATGTAAAATCTTCGAACGCGACGAGTCTGACAAGTAAATCATATGCATCTGCAGATCTAGATCATGGTGACTCCAACGACGATACTATAGTGTATGATGTCGCCCTGGATTGGGGGGATGCCGCTCTCTTGCATTCAGCCAAACACCCAGCCGGCCTGAAAAATGTTTACCAATCCCACCTGACGGTGGTGGACGACCCGGACTTGATGCGGATACGAAGTGCCACAGATCAATTTCGAAGGTTTGACCTCGAGTCTCGGAGCTTTGTGCCAGGAGACGAATTGGCGTATGTCTACCCCAACGACAAGCCCGAAGACGAAACTGAACACTCCAGCTGGTCGTCGTACGAAAATCCCTCCGACGAATCGGCAAAAAATATTATTGATGGGATCCAATTAACAGCGAAATATTTGCGACAGATCATACTGGGATTTACGTCGGCGCCAGAAATCAGAAAGCTACATCTTTTATCTTCATATCTCGATAGACTGACAAAATTAGCAAATCGAGACGTAGTGCCAAACGAAKATCGATTTCGCGACAAACAGAGTAGTAACAACATTGACAATGMGAACTTTGATAAAACAGAACAAGATGACTGCCACCAAGACGGCATCTCGACCCAGACTTTGATGAAATGGCAGTTGCAGCGATTTACRGAGTTGGCAGTCGAAATAGAAGATACTWTGTGGGCACGACGAAAAGCATTAGAAACAGATCGGTCCAACAAATTTTCTCTGGGTCAGGTTGTACAGCACAAGAAGTATGGCTTTAGAGGAGTYGTTGTAGCATGGGATCCAGGTAAGACATGATCGAAATGAAAATACTCAATTCATGCCATGGCATTTGATGATTTGTTCCCTTCTCTCACCAAACATTCACGTTTGKTGGTAACAGAGCCAGCATATGACGTATCTCGATGGGATGGCCTCCAGCACATCGATAATCCAGAAGAGTAYCCATTCTACCATGTCATCCCCGATCGCAACGATGCAATAGTAGCCTTTGGAGGAGAAAGACCTTGGAGATATGTTTGCGAAGAAAACCTAGAACCTTGTCCAAAAGACAACAGAGGTCTAGATGTAGATCTCGAACTAGAATGGACAAACGAYGTTAAGAATGGCAAGTATGTTCCACCCGAGGAGCTCAAACTACGCCATGGAGAGCAACTAGAGGACGCCGAAATGACCGAGAAATGTTTGGGAGAAATCAAGGTAAGAATACTTYCGTGCTTCATCGTCACATATGGTGTTTGCGATTCTTCTAAAWAATCGCCTTGTTYATKTATTGAACCTGTCCCCTCACATTCCATGTTCAATAGGATGCGATAAACTGTATTTTCTTCTCGATACGGGAAGGGACTCGTGCTGATAATGAAATGATAGAARCGAATRACATTCGTGACATCGTTGATCGATTATCCATGGACAACCTATTTCAAATTCTCAAGCATGTCGACAACTCGGACACGGCCGCAGTTGTCACAGATGCGTTCAAGGAAATATGGAAGGGGCACAAGGATAGAGAAATTCGTTACAAATTCGATACTGGAGTAAATWATCTTCTGACCGGGAAGACAGAAAAAGCACTTGCGATTTTTGGGGAAGTGGTTGACGAAGATCCGATGTTTGCCGAAGCCTGGAATAAGGCAGCAACATGTGAATTTATGGTAGGCAACTTGGATGCATCCATGGCAGCGGCACAGAAAACATTGGAAATTGTACCGGGYCATTTTCAAGCCTTGAACGGTCTTGGGTTGGTCTACAACGAAAAAAGAGATCTAACACACGCGAGGGATAATTTTCGMARGAGCATCGAACTTGATCCATGGTCACCGGTTGCACCGAGGCTTTCTGTTTGCTTAGATACTTTGAAACGATGGAAGGATAATTCTATATTGAACGTCGAGGGAAATCCTGATTCACCGGAATGGAAGAATCCTATCACTGGCGAATAGAAAAAGATATTACTTGTTTCCTTTGCCATGCCAGATTACTTTTCGTTCTCTACTGATTGTAAAAGGGCGTTTTTTACCATWCGTTGCAATATTCTTGCATCAAAGTCGTCTCGAGGTACTCTTTCCTTCTCGTAGTTGTTGGCGACGTCGTAGAATATTCGACCCAGGGTATTCAAGGCTTTGGCCTTCTTCAAACGATTRGTGTAATCCGAACCGCAATCATCCAATACTCGTTTTGTTGCCTCTCGTAACGTTTTATGAACGTCATTTGCATTGAATTCCTGGAGCACTTTCCACATCTTTGGAGAAGAGAAGGCTTTCAACAAAGTGTTCAAATCTTCCGCTTTGTCTTCGTCTCCGCAACCATCCAAAGTACCTTCAACTTTAACTACTGAAYGGCGATAGTATTTGACCATGGCCTTTTGGGCCATTCGGCTTAGATTGTGATTTGTATGAAAGTKATGCACTGTATCTCTTGTGACAAAGAAGTTCTTCAGTAAAGGTTTAATCCATGGAGGAACCAAATACTTCATCGTCTCCGAGATAATACCCGTGGCAACGCCATTTAGCAGCGATCTAGCATTGTTGACAACATCAAGAGCTGCAACCAAAGCTTCGGCTTCGTACCGACATGATTCCTCAAATTTTTCAAAAGAAACAAGACCGAAGTCACTCTTTACGTAATTGTCGATACGCAATCGCAAGTGAGAGGCTATTTTGACTTGTCGTGTTCGTTGTTGGGGTGATTCATACCAAAATTTCTTCGTCGGTGATTGGAAACGGGAATCGGCGCGATCTGTCAATCCTAATATGTTGTCAACCAACGTAGCTATGGCGAGGTCTTCGCCGACGTACAATTCAAATCCCATGCCATTCGATTCAAACAAGTCTGAAAAGAAACGATATGGATTCACCTGTGCGTCCGACGTCAATTCGGTGTCGGCAGTCACTCGATCCAGGTAGCAAGATCCTGATTGATCGTAGATAGCTCTCAACTCTTCATTTATGAGTATGCGATATATTTTGTTGATTTGAGCAAACCTTTCCGTTGCAGAAAGTTCATCGTTCTTGTCAGGGTGTAGCGTTAGTGCAAGCTGATAATACGCCTTCTTGATTTCGGTGTTATTCGCATCTACTGGTAYATTGAAAATATCATAAAAGGTTGAGTCTTTGACATTCTTTCGCAATGAYCTTTTCTTTCTTACMCGAGATGTTTTCCCTTCAGTCCGTGGATGGYCGTGGTCAGTCTCGTTGTTCTCTCTTTCAGAAACTAATAATTGCTCTTCCGCATCAAGACTATAAAAGAACCATTCGCGCAGTCGTTTGTCCCACGTTTTGCCTTCTTTCATCGCACGAATAGATTCTGGTACAAYATGAATCCCTTTTACCCCTTGGTAAGCCCCAGCTAGAAGACCGACGACTGTCATCGACAAGAGACGCAAACTTCCATCCGTTGCACCCAAAACAAGTCCACCCAAACCATTTTCGGTCAGCCCTGTGAGAGAACAGTTTAGGAGAGATTCAAAACCCAGATAGTATCCCTTCCAAACAAGGGGAATTGCCTCGACAACACCATCGAGAGCGTCTCTTACTGGTCGCACTTCTTTCAACAAAATAGAAGCATCATCAGTAATTCTAACAAACGCAGTTCGAACCGGTCGAAAGAATTCGGATGCAGTAGAAAAAAATGAGTCCTCGTGCCTTTCGCTCTCAACTACAACAATTGGATCTTCAAAGAATCCTTTTTTCRTGTTCTGTTCGTTTGACTGGTTTTGACGACGCCTGCCTCTGTGTTTATTTCGCGAATAATGTGSTTTGGCTTTTTCGCCCTTTCCTTCCCTTCTCAATTTTGATGGGTGTATTTTGACAGCTGACGCGAACATAGTCGATGTTGTTGAGATCCTTAAGAATGGAAATTCAGAAGCCGATAATTTGATAAAGTGAAGTAAAAGCAATATGTACACGCCCGAAGCGCCTTCTAGCGTCGCCTTCATTCGCCATCGTCCAGTTAGTTCTCGTTTTCTAATCATCCGAAGAATAAACAGTTTCCCCCGATGCAATTTAAAGGATTCTGTAAGTTGACTGTTACTCCAATGGTAATTTTGAATGTAGTCAACAATGGCACRACAAGGAAGTCAGATTAGGAGTAGCAAAATGAAGAGATACAAGGAGAAAGAACAATTATGTTCCTAAAAACGACGAAGTATTGGTTTCCGATTTTGTGTGAGAACCGCTGTCGACACAAATCTTGACGCGACCCAAGTACAGAACAGTACGAGGTTCACATCCCAGAAAAAAGATTTTATTTCCCTTTCGTGTTACATTACGGAACTGTWTTGTTCATTCAAAGATTGGATCGCTAACGCAAGTAGTTTCTACAGAACAAAAACTAACAACGAGTGAATGCCGGCAACAAGGTGGAAAAGTATGGGTCTGAAAAGAATTTAGAAGAAAAGAATCAATGAAAGCACTCTGGCTCTTTGTTGTTGTTTTTGAAATAGGAATGGAACTCACTGATTTATTGTGTGCTTTGTTGGGTACTATCGTTGTTCATGGTGGTGTTTGTGTTGTTTTTTCAAGAGGAGGAAGAGGTGGTGCTTTTCTTCTTAGTACTACTTCTAGTAGTACTACTAGTATTGCAAGTATAARCAGACCACTGATGGAAGATCTCAAATCAAGAGGAACAAAAATCCAATTGCTTGAGTAAGACCAACAAGTTCTTGAAACCAACACATTTGCTGAAGATCTCGTTGTCGTGATTTGTGAACAGTTCTTGCCTCCACAATATTATTTGGGAATTGAGTKAAATACATTCTCTTGTAACCTGTTGTTTGAGTTTTATGAGTAATTTTTGATTTGTATTCTTGGTTGTGGACATTGAAATTTAGCCTTTGCTGCAGTGGTTTGAGAAGTTAAAGAAGTGATTACTTTTTTAGTCTCCTTCTTCAAGAAGCTTCTTCAAGAAGGACCACCTCTATCCATTCAACTTTGTCATCATCTGGTAGTAGTAGTAGTACACATTGACGAACAAATATCAATGAGTGCATCTATGTTGTTATCAATCATGATAAGTCTACCATTGTACAATTTAAGCATTGGGTCTGTCCTTTTGGAACAAGATTTGTTCCACCCACAACAATGTCCTCAGCATCTGCTGTGGCAGTTGGTAGTAAGAAGCAGCATTTCTAAAAATCTGACATGCCTCTGTATTTTCTTGTTTTGTCATTCTTTGGAGGTTTGAGGTTTGAAGCCTTAATTACAATGATAGGAGTGTGATCTGACAATCTGTCATACACATATTTTCAATTAATCACTTTGAGAAACTCAGAAAGTATCCCATCATTATTGCACACTTGTCTGCATTGTTGTATGTTGCATGARCAATATCTGCTGGGAGTTTGTCCAAAGGTTTTATAATTCTTGAATTGATGATTTGAACATGCTCTTCTTTCAAGCCATTTGCTCTTGAATCATCAAGATGCTCTCACTAGATTGGATCATCTTCTTTAAACCTGTGGTTTGTAATAATTTCAAGATTTGTGTTGGTCCTTTCTATCCAAATATAGAACTCTTTTTTTATAATGGGGATTCTCCAACCACTGGTTTGTCACCTGCAAAGACATTTGGTAGATTGCCATACAAATGATATTTGCTTATCACACAATAACTTAAGGTGCTCATTCAACGTTTCAATTTGTTTGATACTAGCAAATGATATCTTTTCAACAATGAGTAGGCAAGTCTCATTTTCCCATCCATCATCCTATGAAATATTGAATCTGTCACAATTAAGACAGCAAGCTTTACTATGTCTTGTTTCCCCATTCTTGRTATGAACTACTTTTGTTCCAGTTGTCCCTTTAACAGTCACCCAGAGTTCTGATGGAAAAGTTCTTCACTCCCAATTATTTGCAAAGAATCTTACAATAATGTCAAACAGAATGAGTTATTTTTCATTTCACAGTACCACCAGCCCCTGATAGAAAACAGATGAACTGCTCTTTGTTAATCATGGTTGCCTTGATATCTTCTATCTATTTGTTGTGGCAATTACCAATTAATCTTCCCGCAGAACCTCTTTTTCTTCATTGTTCAGGTGAACATAGAAATTTTTCATKAAGTTTTAAAGCACAAGCAGCAACAATCTGGCTAAATGGTGCATTTTCTTGGTCTTTGTCATTTTGCATACTAGTGTCTGATATTTTCCAAGGTTCCAGTAGTAAATGTGAAGTTTTTCATAACCTTTGCATGATCAGTTTCATGGGTGATGACAGCAAAAAAAATTGTAGAATTTGCTACAAAACACTTCTTGGAAGCTGATTTGGTTTATATTTTGGTCAAAAAATCATAACCAGGAACATCTTCAAGTTTGCCTGGCCTTCACAAATAATTTGCACCATGAGATTTCAGAAATGCATTGCGTTTGTTTTGAASTGTATTGGAATCCAAAACAAATTCACAAGAAAATTGGGATTGAGACCCATTATTTCAAAGGAGATAGCTTGCCATGGGACCAGAAACAATGTGTGACTTTGTGCTTAAAGTGACAGCTCCAATCAAAGCATGAACTCCTTGCTTGCACATTACAACATTGCACTCACTGTCTTCCTCACTGTTGTAAACTTGTTGAAGTTTGTTTGTCATATGATTTCCTGCACTAGTAGCATACACTTCAGTGTCTTCTTTGTTGGTTGACTTTGCAATATAACAGGTCATATGCTTAGTTGAACCATCAGAACAAACTGCAAGAACAGTATTTGTATTGAGTTGAAAACAGAACTTGCAATTTAATCATATATGAACCATGCAGCCTTCATGTTTACTCACATGATGTTCATATGCAAATAAGTTGATTGTGTTTCTATTGCCCCTCCAGTCATACCAATCAGAACATTTATTTTCAAAAAGTACATTTGATTAATTGCAACCTTTGTTTGGAATTTTCATTCTGAACTCTTTACTATGTTGGTTTTTGAAACATGTTTTCACACAGTTTGGTTTCTGCAACAAATTATGCAAACATGAAAGATGATCTCTTGTACTGTTCTGATTTAGATTGATTTTTTCAGTTTCATTTCCTCAAT